TGTGTACCTGTGGTACCTGCAGTACCCCCCAGGAGGTGCCAGGTGCGGTACTAAGTACCTGATTTGGCCCCAAATTTGGGGGGGGGGTACCCAGGTACGGCTTGGTACCAGGGTCCCAAATGACTATCTTTACCTTGGCTTTTGAGAGTCCAAGAATAACCCTCTCAGCTGTTGACAGTGTCCGCTCTCAATGGCCAAGGGTGTACCTCTTATCCCCTCCACGGCTGAGAGGTACACTCTTGATTTTTGAGAGTGTACACTTTCAACAGCTGAGAGAAACCCTCTTGGCCATCAAGGTGTACACCCTCAACGGCCAGGGGTGTTCACTCCCAACCATTGAGAATACACTGAGTACACTCTTTTTGATCCCCCGAACCCTTTGTTGTGACCTAGCTCACACAGTGTGACTTGGCTCCAGCTCAGCCAGATGGAGGAGACTACATCTGTCTCCTCCAGACCACACTTACCAGAATCTACACGGATTCACGGATTACCCCTTTGAGTCACTACACCTGTCAGCGGTTTTGGGATTCTGACTCCCAAACCCCCTGATGGGTTTGGGGGATTGACACCCAATATTTTGGGGAATACGGGGTAATTTCCAGGGGGATTGGGGAGTGGGAGTTGAGATTCCAATTTTTGGGAGTTGTTTAACCAAATCTCTATATCTATGTAGTGATCTTGTAAATGGTCTAGATGCCAGATACCAGTATGAATTGGGTGAACAGAACATCACTAGATGAATGCACACAACCAACTGCAATGAAAATTGGACCCTCAGTTCCAGTAAATCCCTTTTGTTTTCTTTTTTCTGCTGGACACACAAAGTCTAGCTATGTATTGTAAGTTTTTGTAGCTGTGGGACATAGGGGTCCAGAGTCCACACCTTGATGAATTTGATGTGAACCCCGGCTTGCTGGTGGATTTCACAAGAGATTCCATCATCACCCCATCCACTGGCTACTTCAAATCACAATTCCTGACCCCTCACCTAGCTCAACAGAGACTTGACTTCATTCTCAATTTTTCTGAGCTAGGTAACCCAACCATTTCACTTCTCATCATTATGTCATAAGCTTTCCTTTCTTTGGGGTTTTCCGTTCATTTTCCTCTTCTGATATCACATACTGTACTGATGAGACACTTGACTTCATTCACAATTTTGCTGAGCTAGAAAATAAAATTCCCATCTTTGGCTCTAGAAAAGTCTCCCTTGTTAAACTTATGACTGTCACGGAGCTGAGGAGAGAGAAGTGAGACAGTGAATGTGGGAATTCTCACTGGAGTGGTTCACGTTTTGTGGAAAAGGAAGGTAAGAACTGTGGGGGCTTGATTTCTTGTGACTGGCTATGTTTAAATAAACTATGTACAAGAAGCTCAGTTTTAATAATGAATATGTAAGAATAAATAATTAATAAGGAATATGCCAAAAAAGAAGATAAGTTCCAAATAAGAGTGTTGATAAAGGGCTACTCCCTAGAGTTCAGTGACTACAGATGGGATGCACTTGAAATACAAATCAGATTGGATTACAGACTATAATTTTTCAAATTCATGAAGATGGTTTAAAAAATTTGTAAGCAGGGGGGAATAAAAGGCAAGCTTTTTGGGAGGAGTAAAAGCAGTGGTGGGCAGCTACGCTTTTGGCCCAAAAAGCGTAGCGTAGCGGCACTTTTTTTGCGCCAAAAAATTGTAGTGTTAGTAGATTTTTAGTGGATTTTGGCTACACTGCACTGCGCTACAGGCTGCTAACACTGCTACAGGGCCAAAAAACCGCTAACTGGTGTGATAGCGTAGCATAGTGGGCCCTTTTTTGGGGCCTATGCACGTAGTGTCAGTGCAGATGTGGCAGAATTCCGCCACGGTACGCTAAAGTTTAGTGGAATTCCGCTACACTAACACTACGGTTAGTGTAACTGGCCCACCATTGGTAAAAGAAGAACAGCCAGATCTCAAAATCCCTCAGTGCACTCATTCTAAGCTTCCATCCATAAGGATTTAGTGAAGGGATTCCAACCCTTACATTTGATTCACCACTGATGGTCTATGAAACGTACCATTTGGGTTGATTTATCAACCAGATCAAGCCCAAGTCACCGGGATGTGGTTGTCCATGGCCGTGTCCCTTTTTTTTACCAAGGGGTGTAGGACAAATAAGGCCACAAAAACCAACATGTTTTTCCCAAAAACCTTCATGAATTTAGTGAAGATCAGTGGACAAATCAAGAGGTGTGGCATTATCTGGTGCACTGAACTGTTGGTGCCATCTGCATGATCAGCCAAGTGGTGCAGACTTTGGATACAGTGAATACAAAAGCCTCGGGCTGATTGTGCAGAGCTGTGAGCCAGTTTCTGATCTTGTGCTGACCCACTTCCAGGGGTACATTAAAGAGTGCCATTTTTTTTTCAAAATGGCTTTATCCACTGAAGCCAATAATAACATTGAGTGTGGCAAGTGTAGTAGTTTTGATACTCCATTATAAATGCTTTGTGTATAGTGTACTTAGCAGAACACTGCCCACCATCTCTCCAATGTGCTTGCACTTTTTTTTAAAATGTGTGGTTGAATGAGTCATGAAAATCATCCCAAGAAACCTGCCTTTGATCTTAGTTCTTTGTTTTACATACTTGAGTCACAATATACAGATCATCCCAAAAGATCTGCAGCTTGATCAGCTATGATGATGACCAGTCTGGCTGATGTATTACTTGTTGAAGATAGTTTGATAGGAGATGTGAGTGCACACATGAGATGGCCCCAAAATTTGAATCAATTGAGTGACGTTGTCCAAGTCCTTCAAAAAAACCCAGGCCACATCATATGAGCCCTCTTCCTCTTCTCCCAAAAACATCAGCCCACTGCATTTTTTTTGGGGGGGGGGGTTAGGAAAAATGCAATGACACAGGGACATACATATTTGACTTGAATGTTTTGAAACATTTGTAGGGTTTATGTTCAAGTGTACTGCTGATCTCAAAATCAGCAGTCAAACTTTGTCGGAATGGATATCTTAAGGTTGATGGGACACCAAACTAGTTTAGTGGGAGGATCCCCATTGGATTCAAGATCCCACAAGTAAAGTTGATCAGCAAACAAAGTAGGATTGGCTGCAAGGTGCAAACTGCCCTATTACATATCCTGTTGATTATGTATTTAGACCCAGCTGATAATTGTATATGGTCTGCTGGGTGTAAAGAACATGGCGACTTTGAAGTGTGACTTGGGGACGCGGAAAACTTTGAACTTTTAAATTTGTAAATTTTGTAATGTACTGACGATACTATGTTTTTGCAATGATAGAGAAAAATAACAAAATAAGTCTCTTGAGGAAAAAAAAGAGATACAAAAGTGGAAAATATCAAGTCTTTTATAGATGTAATCTTGCGTTTCGTTATATTCTAATCATATTTTGTTCACAGTAACTAAAGAGTAGAGAGTGTTATGGTTCCTATTTTATAACACATCTTTTGATCTGCTCGTTTGAGATAATGAAGGAATATTCTAAATGAATGAGATGAAGTAGAATTTCTTCGATTTTCTTTGATGATAGAAATTTTGAAAATGATTTTGTTTTTTCACCAAGTTTCTTGGCCTGAGCTTGACAAAATGACTAGCCATGTACCCTAGCAAAGCACCCAAACAGACTTGTCAGCAGTCAAAATTACAGGATTTGTGCCAAATTCGTCGTGAAACTTTTCCAAATAAGGGTGAATAGACTCAGCAAAATGTCCTCCTTTTACCCAAGAATTATCCGCGGCAGAGCCACCCCGCCAAGTGACCAAATATTTGTGCTTCCGGGGTCCCATGCGACGATAACCAATGATGGACTCAATATCCTGCTCATCAATATCCCGCTGATAAGTCGAGTTATGCCCCAAAGGTGCCGTCGGAACTTTTTTTCCTGGATAGGACCTGGGATCCACAAAGGGGACAAGGAGAGATGAGTGAAAAACCAGGTGAATACGCTTCATATCAGGAGGAAGTGAGAGAAGAAAAGCCTGAGTGCCGATTTCTTTAACGATCTGAAAAGGGTCCAGTCGTTTAAAGTCCAATTTCTACAATGGTCGTTTAGAGGTGATGTTGGTGCGAAGGAGCCAAACCCATTCGCCAGCACTGAATGGAGGGGAGTCCCTTGCCCGTCGATCGAAATGCTCCTTTTGAACCTCTTTTGAGCGTTTTAGGAACTGCTTCAATGATTCCTGAATATCAGACAACTTTTACACCAAAGAGTCTGCTGCAGGAACAAGGGAACCTGCTGAGAGAGTGTTCAAACAGGGGTGGAAGGCAAATTGCGCAAAAAACGGGGAAAACCCTGTAGAAGCAGAATCGGACGTGTTAAAGACCAATTCAGCCATGGGAAGCAAAGACGCCCAATCATCCTGTCGATCCAAAACAAAATGCCTAATAAAAGTTTCAATAGTTTGGTTAGCCCTTTCAGTCTGTCCATCAGTCCGAGGATGCCAAGCTGTCAGCCTATGTGATGCCAAGACACGTGTCCTCTAGCTACACAAGGTGCAAAAAGTAAGAGTTTTTATGGCAAAAACTCTAGGATAGAACTGGTACAGGTAATTCAAAAGAATTACGTGGAATTTATGGATTAAATCCAAAAAGTGGCCAATTTATATTAATAAAATTAATATAAATTAAACCAGAGGGGCCTGATAAATCAGGGGTGGTTTAATCCCTCTAAGGTATCGTGCAAAAAGCAGAGGATTTAGGTACCTGATACACTGGGGCCTGTAGCAGGTGTGGTTTAAATCCCAGGAGATAATTTTTAGGGGAAAATCTTCAAGAAAGGGTTATTACTCACTAGTAATAATCCAAAGGGGTCTTGAGGATTTTCTTAGTAGAAACTGGACAGTTGGGAGCGCTCAGAAAGGTTGATTTTGGGTGCTGGGTGATAACTGGGGAGTTTCTTGAGGGTTCTTGAGGCTTTAATAACAGCAATTATAGTAGTAACTAGGCTAATTACAAGTGTAGGGGACTTGTAAATGGTAAGTAAATTTCTATAAGGTATTGTAAAGCTGGGGGATCATTATTTGGGCGGTCAGAAGGCCCTTTAAATACCTGTGGAAGGCCTCAGGGGTTGCTCAGGGGAGCTTAGTAGGACTTGGGGGCGCTTTTGGGCCCATTTTGGCCCACATGGTGATGTAACCAGGGCTGGAACCTTGGGGATAATATTCCAGAAGCTCCAAGGGGTCATGCACGAAATTATTACAGCCAAGAATGTCCCATGGGAACCTGTGGATAGGGGCTACTCTGTTACGTGGAGCAGGTTCCTTGGAAATGAGCCACAGAATATTCCAGAGGTGTCTTCTGAGGCTTGCTACACGTGTTACCCACTGGAATATGGTTACTGTAGTATTTTCATAGATATTCTAGCTTTTTCACATTATTATTACACGTGTGGGGGCTTTGTTGCCACGTGCAATGGGGATTCTGGGGCTTTTGTGGCCCAATCCTTGGATACTGGTGCGCAGCATGACTACGTGGCACATGGGCTTGGAGACAGGACTCCACATTGCTCTATCTTCTAAACCGTGCACAATACTCCAATTCTGAGACTGGATTTGGAGTATATGCATTATGCATTATGCAGAAGTGTCACAGTACCCGTGATCTGGGGGTACCTGTTAATTATTCATGCTTGTATTACAGGATGAAGGAGTTAGAATTTGGGGTACCTTTGGCTGAGGTACCCTAGGTTAAATTGTGTGCTGATTCAGAATCTGCAATAATATTCAAGGTTTTGTTTATACTTTTTAAGTTATTTATTTATTTTTATGTATTTTTTATCTTATTTACATAAGTAATATGGTTTCTTTTACTTATGTAATATTTTTAATTTATACTTAGATTTTTTATGTAATTTATTATTTTTTATTTGCTATGACAGGTTGTCTCTGCCATAGTAGCAAGCTGACACAAGCTGTGGACGGCGCAGGCTTAATCCGCAGAAGACGCTGAACCTCCGTCCAAAACCTAGATACAAATATCGAACCCCGATCTGACACAATCTTGTCCGGCAGGCCATGGTAACAAATGAACCAATCCAAAAAAACATTAGCAAAATCCTCGGCTGCCCATGTCTCACAAGCCGGCAATAGGTGGGCAGCCTTTGTGAAATGATCCACTATAACCAAGATTGAGTCAAACCCAGACGAGCAAGGCAATTTGACAATGAAGTCAATGTCGATGACGCTCCAAGGTCTCTCGGGTATAGCTAGGGAGACCATGAGACCTGGAGGACGCTGGTTGGAATGCTTCAAGCGCTGGCAAGAAAGACAGGATTTAGTATATTTGATAACATCCCTACGTATTCCCGGCCAGGTCAGAGACCGGGTGATATTTTGTAGCGTTTTCAAAGATCCCACATGTCCCGCCAAAATTTTGTCATGGAAATTTTGCAGAACGAGCGGACAAAGCGCCAAGGGAACAAAGATTTGATCCTTCAGCCACCAGTAACCCTGCTTGAACCAAAGAGGGGATTCATCATCGTCATCTGCCTCCGGTGGGTCTTTCTTGTAAGCATCCTGAATAAGATCTCGGAGACGCTGCGAGGGTTGACAAAAGGAATGGTCAGCCAATAGATCCGATGGTTTTGCTGAGTTTTCCTGAGTAATGTCAGAAACATCGACCGCCTCCTCCTCAACCTTCAACTCCTTTAAAGTAACCTTTCCCTGATCCTGTTGCAGAAGCGTCCTCGACTGTTCTTCACGACCATCATCAACGACGAAATCCGGTCGACGAGTGGGTGGGTCAGCCGGATTATTTCTTCCCGAAACATGTTTGATGACGAAATTGAAAGAGGAAAGAAAGGACGCCCATCTGGATTGCCTGTCCAAAATTTTTTGATTCGCCATAAAGTACCGAAGGTTAGCATGATCAGACATCACCGTAACCGGCTCGTTGGTGTCAATCAACCATGCCCGCCATTCCGTCAATGCTGAAACAATTGTGTAGAGCTCTTGATCGTGAACTTGCCACAAGGCTTCCTGAGGAGATAGTTTACGTGACAAAAAGGAGACAGGATGAAGATCCCCTTTTTCATCCGGTTGACACAAAAAACCCGCTATCACATATTTGGAACTGTCTACAAACAAAATCCAACCTTTGCGAAATCAAAATGGCTCAGTAACGGGGAGCTAGTGAAGCAGGATTTTAAGCAAGAAAAGGAACAAAGACAGTTTTCCCCTTGCAGCCCCTGACCAATGTTGACACCCTTCTTTGTAAGGCTAGTGAGGGGAGCCGTAATTTTGGAAAACCTGTGAATGAACTTCTGATAGAAGTTAGCAAAACCCAGGAATTTTTGCAGGTGACAAACCGTTTCCGGGTAAGGCCACTTCAAAATTGTATCGAGCTTTCCAGGATCCATCCGTATCCCTTGAGGAGAGATGTCAAAAACTAAGAAAGAAACCTTGTCAACAAAAAAAGAGCATTTTTCAGGAGAGGCGAAAAGCTTGTTGTTTTGTAATCAAGACAGTACTTGAGACACGTGTTTGATATGTTCTTCCCTGGTCTTTGAAAAAATAAGGATGTTGTCAATGTACACAAAACAAGAGATATGAAGCATCTCTCGGAGCACATGCTGTATAAATCTCTGGAAACAAGCGGGTTTGTTATCCAAACCAAAAGGCATCACCATATACTCAAATAAACCCCAAGGAGTGTGAAAAGCTGTCTTCCACTCATGCCCCTCAGCCACTCTCAGAAGATTGAAGGCCGCCTTGAGGTCAATCTTCATAAAAAACTTACATCCCTGCAACTGATTTAACAGCTGACCCAAAATGGGAATGGGATAACTATCTCTTACCGTCATAGAGTTTAATCCTCTGTAATCTACACATGGGCGTGGCTTCTTAGCTGGGACTCTCACAAAAAAGATAGGAGCAGCTGCGCTTGAAGAAGAAACTCTAATGAATCCTTTTTTCCATTGCTCATCAATATATTCTTTTAAATTGGACAAGCTCTACTACAGATAGATTGTACAGATCCCTCAAAAGGGCGGGACGGCTGCTTTCGCGCAGGTTGATGGAAGATGTCCATGTCCCAATGCGGTGGTAGCAACGGTGAAAACGATG